GCGTGGAAATTTTCCGAGGGAAATTCGCAGTTCTGCAATCCTTCCGAGTAAATTACTTCCTTCCCACTGGACGACAGGAGACGTTTGGAGTTGATGAAAATTCGAAGGAGATTCCGGCGCGGACGGCTTGCCCGACTCCCACCATCGAGCGAGTGCGACGCACGCGCTCGGGGGAGGAAAGGCAAACGTGCTAAAGGAAAGGGAAAAAAAGGCGGAAATTCGCACGAGCCCGTCCCTCGGCGTCACGAGGCCGAGCGACCTGCCATGAGACCGGTCTTTCCCCGTTACTTTTACGCTTTTGTTTGCTTCAAGAGATTCTGCCGAAGAGAGTTGTCACGATCTGGAATCGGATCGGACAGCCGACGAAAGGATGCCGTCGATAACGAACGAGATGGTCTCTCCAATTATGTGTCGCAACAAATGGGTGTGATTCGCCTGGAAACGATTCCGCGCCTTAGCGTGTCATCCTTGTCATCCACGGCAGGGACAAACATGAAACATCTTCCCTCCCTCCGAACACGAGACACGAGACATCCTCCCTTCCTACTCCAGACGCAGTCTCGCGTTCCGCTCGGTGGAATGTTCGCAGTGCAAGCGCTTTTCCAAGTCTGCTCGTGCCCCTAAGCGACTTTTTCTGTCGAGGTGCAAAGGCTATTCGGTGCCGTCCGGTTGGCTTATGCATGCAGTGCCGGCGGATCGACTTTGCACCGTTTCACAATGTAGATCCGTATCATTACGTTGAGGATGTGGGGTATGGATAAGGTAACTGGGTTTTTGTGTCGCGAAAGTGGGATGCCCAATGAATAACCCCTGCCTCTTAGAAAAGAATATGCATGTATTTGTTGGACTCACAATTGTATTTATTATTGTCAAAACATGAACTAGAACTGTTATTTAATTGCGCATCCAGTGTAATGCGACCGGCTTTAAAGTTGGAAGTTGGGAGTTTCGGTTTTTAAAATTTCCCCGAATGGAAAAAGGCTCCTTCAAATCATCAGAAAAGGGAAACGCGAATTGGCGTCGAACACGTGAACATAGAAATTGAAACGAAAATTTTTCATGAAATGGTGGAAGCAAATTAAACAATAAATGATGCAAGCATATTTGATGTTTGAAATCAGAATTCACAGCGCAGACATGCAATTGGAAATTCGTATAAACCAGTCTCGATACGTTATTCATGACTTTCAACGGAGTCGTGGTCCCGTTTCCAGGGGAAATTTCAGTAGCGTCACGTGTGCGGGACGCTTCTGTGACGTCTTCACTTTACTGCAGCGAGTAGCCACGTGCGAGTGGCGTGACTTTCACTTTTCCCTCCCATCTTTTCCTACTTTCTAGCCTCGTTCTCAGGTCGCTTGCTCAATATCTTTTTCTGCATCCCCCACCCTTGGGGGAGAGGGAGAGGGAGAGGGAGAGGGAGAGAGGGAAAAGGAGAGGGAGAGAGGGAGAGGGAAAAGGAGAGGGAGAGGGAGAGAGGGAAAGGGAGAGAGGGAAAAGGAGAGGGAGAGGGAGAGAGGGAAAGGGAGAGGGAGAGAGGGAAAAGGAGAGGGAGAGAGGGAAAAGGAGAGGGAGAGAGGGAAAGGGAAAGGGAGAGGGAGAGGGAGAGAGGGAAAGGGAGAAGGAGAGGGAGAGGGAGAGGGAGAAGGAGAGATTCCATAATGAGCAGGGATTTTGGCGCACATTTTTTGCAAGAGGGAGGCCTGGCCTCCTCAAAAATTCTCAGGAGTCTAAATTCCATGCAATTTGAAAATCTCTATTAAGATATGAAACGTCCGAAAGAAACCTCTGTGGACCACTGGATTCGTTCTCGATCGACGCAAAACGAGGAAAAGTCCGGTCTCTGAAAGTTGACTCCCGTCCAGGATCGCGGACGGGAGGCCCGGAGGCTTCCCTCGTAGACGACCGTGAGGGTATCACGCCGTTCGCGCAACATAAAAATGGAACGATAGCAGGCGGGCCGGCCTCACCATTCTGCAGTGCGCATGTGCAGGTGCCTGATAGCATGCTGGCTAGCGTGTTTATAGGCTCCTTAGCCGTTCGGTGTTCGGAATTCGCATTGCCAATTTATATATAAGCAGTTGCTTTGGATATAAAAAAATACACAAGGTATGCTATTCATGATAATAATATTCGTTAGGTTTACCTCGATGCGATATCGCTTAGGAGAAGTTCTGAAACCTTCTTGGGAAGAAATTTGACCGTCGCGTCACAATCTCTTTGAAGTTTCCCAAAAGCGGGACGTTTGGCGACCGGCTTACTTCAGCGGGGAGACATCGGGACACGTGCTCTGAAAGTGGGACGGTCCCGCCTATATCGTCGGACGTCTGGTCACCTTAGATTTAGATGTTTCTTGCTACGCAATAAATTCTCGAAAAATATTCTTATAAATATTTCTGAAGAGATTCAGGTTTTTCGAAGACTTTGTCGTGACCAAAAAATCCCCATGAATTCCAATGACCCTTTCTCGAGGAGAAAATTCCCTTTGGATTTTCATGGCCCCCATATGCCTGCTACTTGAAACTTGAGGTGTAAGAGAGGATACCACTTTGCATAGGAAAAAAAGTGCTGAAAATGTTTACGAAATTCCTCTAGGATTTTTTTTTTTAGGTTCGTATTAGATTATATCACGGTTTAATTTGAACTCGTAAAAATCTTTCCGAGCATTTACGTAACGTCGTCATGCTAACTTGGGAAGTTTTTTTCCAGATCTTAAAAGATTCTCATGCGTTCCTAAAGGAAGGGGAACGTTATGGGCAATTATTATTCCGACTCTTCCTTCAGGGAATTTCGGCAGATCAGAATTTGACATATTCCCGGGAGATTTTCCGGGGCCATGAGACCCATGAACGAGGGCATAGAAATAATAAAATCCTGGAAAACCCCGAGAAAACTGCACTCATTGCTTTCGAAATGACAAACCTAACCTGGAAAGTCACCAATCATTAAAATTCCATGGAAAATCGTTTAGGGTAAGCACCCCGGTTTCCGGCCGGTCTCCAGTTGTTGGCCAGTGAGGCTTAAATCCAGCATAATTAGTTAATCGTTTACATGCATTCTATCGACATCTTCCCGTACGAGGACCTATTGCTAGTGTTTCCCAGTGTGCGCACAGGGTGTCCACAAACTACGGGAGTCATATCAGCGTGGTCAAAAACTGGGGTGTTTGCCCTACTTGGGTCGAGTGAACTGGGCAAAAAAAGCAACGGGAAGCTGAAATGACAAACTCTTTAGGGATTCTCCGACGCATTCTTTTACCTGCTTCACGTGGAATCTGGCCCACTTAGCAACGGGGAAGGATAATTCAAGGCGGCAGATGCAAACCATGAGCCGGAGTTCCTCTGATAGCGAATCTGACGGTCGATGTCGATCGTATCCCCTCGGGGTAGAATTTTCCATCTACGTAGAAGTCCAATCTGTCAACGGGTCGGTCCGGGAAACTCCTCCTAGATGGATGAACGGACGTCCATCGATATCGTGAGATATCAAACGAAAACTCATAACCAGGAGGTGGATCAAAACTCCAAAAAAAAGTCTCACGTGGTCAAATTTCTGCGATCTGGCATCGCACCGAACGCCTTGCGGCCAGCCCTGGACCCGAAACCCGATCGCCGATCGCGACCGTCTGAAGCCCGCTCTGGTCTCCAAGCTTCAGAACTCGATGCATCCCGATGAAGCATTCGTTTGCACCCGACTCGATTGCCGACCTCGCTGCGCGCCCGATGCACGGGCCAGATCGGTCCCATCGAGTCGATCCGCATCCCGACAGAACTCAAAATCATCTACTATTCTACACGAGCCATCGAAAATATAATACGGGTTTCACTTAATTACTCGCTGGAAATACTTATGTAGGAGGAATTGAGATCTACGGGAACCGTCCCCCCTTCTCCATCTGATACCTGCAATTCCGAATTATCAATACTTCCATGTGTCTCATTTGAATACTATGGTTGTCAAATCGAAAGCTTACGACATGGAGACGATATTCATCGGGTCACTTCCCACGTTGACGTTTTAGGCCTAATTCCCGCGGTAAGAATGGCATCGTACTGGTTGCCTTCTCGGGCTGTGTGCTCACAACCAACAATGAGAGTGCGAGGCATTGTTGGCTACGGACGTTGTTGCTGTGGCAACTGCTGGTAATGATCATGTGTCATAATTTAGTCGCGTTGCCAGTCCCGTTGCAGGCATCCGATAGTACTTCACGTAAGTCGACAGCATTCGGTTAGTGCACTATAATTATCATTTTGAATTTTGTGTTGCTCCCAAAGTGTCACGAAAAAGTTGGGGATGTTTGAACTATTCTGGGTGCAATCAACTGAACGCGCAAGAGAGACGTTCTGGAGTCACAGTCGGATAATGAAAGAACAGAACGGCATGCAGTGAAGGCTCTGATTCGACTTGTTTCACTACGTGCGTGCACGGGCTTTTGCACTAGTATCTGCCTTGGCGCGAATGTGTCTCTTCCCCTTCCCTCGAGGCGGTGGCGGATCGGTCGCCTCTCTTCGCTCGGCGCCGGGGGAAGAAATGTATTCCTGAGGGTTTTTTTCCTCTAGCCGCCGGAGGAGTAGTGATGCGCGTCGAAGTGGAGGATAGGGTAATTTTTTTTTCCTCCTTTAAAGAACTCGAATTTAGCTGACAACTGAGTCTAGCCTGAGCCATTGAGCCGTCGGCATAGAGCCGTAGGCAAAACAAAAGCTACCAGGCCAAGTGTCAAATACCAAAAACAGGGGCCCGTTCCTCGCCTGTGCTAAACTTAAATCTAAATCTAAATCTAAATCTAAAAGCAGTCTAAAAGCGGTCTAAAAGCAAAAAGTCTATACTTCGCCCTGACCCTTTAGACTAAGATTTGGCCTAAGATTTAGATTTAGATTTAGATTTAAGTTTAGCACAGGCGAGGAACGGGCCCCAGGAGTAGTGTCGCCACAAGGCAAAGAGAATTCGAAGTCTCTCTGAAAGCACTCGAACAATAAATCTCACTTCAGTCTCGTTGGAATCTCATGGATGAATTAATTGTTCCGTTGTCACCGCAGATGGCCGGCGTGAGAAGCCAGACCTCACTCTACGAGTGGTATTCCGAAGGGGGAATCACAGAACCCCTGAAGGCAGAAGGAGAATTCTTCACCCTCAACGGCAAGAAGATCCACATCCTCAGCGGCTCCATCCACTACTACCGGGTCCACCCGGACTACTGGCGCGACAGACTCCTAAAACTCAAGGCCTTGGGCCTCAACACCGTCGACACGTAAGAACCAAGAAGAAAGTGATTCCTCTCCCATCATCCTCGCTCGACGGCTACCCTCGCTCTGACCAGATACGTCCCGTGGAACCTGCACAACCCCAGGCCGGGCGTATTCGACTTCGGCGACGGAAACGAGCACATGTCTCCCTTCCTGAACCTCAACACTTTCCTCGAGATCGCGAAAGAGCTGGAGCTGTTCGTGATCCTTCGTCCCGGGCCCTACATTTGCACCGAGTGGGATTTCGGCGGCCTCCCCAGGTCAGTCGCTCCAGAGGGTCGCCAGGAATGTGCACAGGGCGATGAAGCCCTTTCTCTTGATTAACGTACTGTCAAAACGCGTTTTGGCTCAATTGCAGAAAATGGTCAAGATCCAACATACAACTAACAAAATTATAACATTATAAATATAGGCACCGCTTTCTCCAAGCTTCTTTTTACTTTGATCGCTCGGTGCACATGGCAAAACGCTATAAGTCGTAGTTGTTTCAAGTTAGCAATGGTTGCATGCATATCCTTTCTGCAGTTATCTACTGAGAACGTCGATGAAGGTGAGAACTTCGGATCCAGAATACGTGGCCCCAGCCAAGGAATATCTTCGAGTCGTCAGTCAAAATGTCCAGAATTTCGTCTGGAACAACGCCGGTCAACCGAATCCTATCATCGCCGTCCAGGTCCTTCGATCATCTTTCTACCTTCATCTTTACCTTATCGTCAAATTACTAATTACCAATTTGCATACATTTCCCTTTCGCACTCATCCAGGTGGAAAACGAGTACGGCGCCTTCGGCTACGACGACGGCATCCGCGACACGGAATACCTCGAGACGGTCATGTCGATCCTGCAATCCAGCGGATTCGGCTCCGACGTCCTCCACTTCCGACAGCCCCCTCGCCACCGGGACCCTCGGAGCCATCCCCGGCGGTAACCAAACCCCCCACCCCCCTCCCCAACCTCACCGCCACCCCATCACCCCACCCATTAATTTCGTTTTTCTCCAGTGCTGATGACGGCCAACTTCTGGAACAACTCCGATGCGCAGTTCGACGAGCTCCTGCGACTCCAACCCGACCGACCCCTCATGGCCACCGAATTCTGGACCGGGTGGTTCGACCACTGGCTCGAGTCGTACCACCAGGTCCGAGACCCCGAAAGTACGCCGTATCCTTTGCTCTATGGTCACCGTATTTAAAATCTACAAGGTTTCCCAACGAATCGTTACGATTTGATTTTTTAATAACTTTTTTAATTCTTCACCGATTCTGTGTGTGTTTGGATCTCTTCGTAGAGAATTTTAATACGATTTAACTGACACTTGGTTGAGCTCAAACGGATAAATATGAAAGGAATTGCAAAGGTTTCCGTGTGGTACTTTTTTGTCGAAAAATAAGGTATATTTCAAATCCATTTATGACAATCATGAATAAAAACAACAATTACGATGCATAGGTAATCTCGATGTGTGCCCCATTATTGTCAATGCATCGTTGGAGCCGATCACGGTAAGAAAGAAGCGATTCGTAGCCCATCTCAATAGTGGCTTCGTCAAATGCACGACAGATGCGAGAAGAGGAGATCATCACGGTCACAGACAGGCGACGTGCGCACCAAACTTTTTATGCATCCCAAAAGAAGTCCATCGGGGTCAAGTCAGGTGATCGTGGCGGCCATGACACATCTGATGACCCACGGCCCATCCAGCGGCCCTGGAAGTTCTCGTTGAACCACGCACGGACGTCACGGGACCGATGAACTTCTTGCATGATGAACCGCACTTCTTCCAGACGATCAAATCGATCTTACCGTGATCGGCTCCAGCGATGCATTGACAAGAATGGGACACACGTCGAGATTAACTATGCATCGTAGTTGTTTCTTATGATTGCAATAAATGGTATAGGTTGCGAAATGTACTTTATTTTTCGACAAAAAAAGAGCACTTCACGGAAACCATTGTAATTCCTTTCATATTTATCCGTTTAGGCTCAACCAGGTGTAAATTAAATTCAGCTGAAATTTTCTACAAAAGGATGTAAACGCAATCAGAATCGGTGAAGAATAAAAAAGTTAATCAAAAATCAAATCGTTACGATTCGTTGGGACACCCTTGTATCAAAATGAACGTAAATACCAGTAATTTATTATTATTATCATGTTGCTTTTCCTCATATGTTAATGCTTTAAAAAATGCTCGTTTCCTCCTTGGGATATTTTCGCCTCGCTCCTCCAGGGATGAGGTCGGAGCTGACCAAGATGCTCCAAAGGAAAGCGTCGGTGAACTTCTACATGTTCCACGGGGGAACCAACTTCGGTTTCATGAACGGGGCCAACGCGTTCAGCTTCTGGCCTTACTACGCACCCGACGTCACGAGCTACGGTAAGCGATCGTTACCCATCGTTACCTGCAGTTACGCATCCGGCCGCGCCATCTCGAACAGAATCGAATCGTGACCGTGGTCTGTAACCATGGTTACAAAAAAGTTTACACTGGAAGACGTTCTTTTGCTCTTCACGCGTGGATCAGATGTGGAACTAAAGGCAGACGTCTGCTGGCGGAATGGAAGCGTCTCGTGAGAGGCGAGGTGGGGAATTTCCGTTGTGACGTTTCGGGTGACATTTCACAACCCGGAATGAACGGATGTCGATGCATGGGAGGACCCTGAGGAACGTTCTTTCTGCAGAGCGGCTTCAATGTAGAAAATCCAGTAAAACGAGGGAGCAGGAGGGAAAAATGACGTATATCGTGCTGACCACGGAGCCCCGGCGTCTTATATCACCTTCCAGCGATGGAATATTTCAGACTACGACGCCCTGCTGTCAGAGGCCGGCGACTACACCGAGAAGTACGAGGTCGCGGCGGAGGTGATCCGAGAGAAATACGAGGGCTCGACCGGGGGCCTCCCGCCTCTGAACCAGCTGGAGCCGGGACAGAGGCCGCCCGAGACGAACAAGAGGGCCTACGGTACCATCAGCGTCACTCACTACATGGAATTTGACGATATCGTCGACCTCATCGGCCAGGTCAGAAATCTCGACCTCTCGATCGAAACCAGTGTGAACTTCCTAAGCCGATTCTGGTGCCTTAGGAGAACTTGGAGAACCCAGAGATGGGGGGTCCCTGGCCGAGCATGGAGGAGCTGACACTGGACGCCTCGGCCGACGTCGGTCAGCAGTTCGGCTTCGTCGTCTACAAGCTCGCCGGGAGCGTGAATGCAGGTGCCGGGCTCAAGGCCCGGGGACACATCCGCGACATGGCCTACGTCCTCGTCGGTGGTGCCGTCGTCAATCCGCCGCTTCAGAGGCCCTAGGATCTCGATGATTTCGGATACTGGGTGCAAAGTTAAGGAGGGATCTCTTCTTTTAGAGGATACTCGATGAGAGCCTTTCGTCATGCCGGTGGCTATCTGAACGAAAAACATTTTTTCCTATCGCTGCGAAGTGTAAGCGAAATGCGAATTGGACTTGAGAGAACGACAGGCCCAGCGAGGAAAGATTTACACACACCAGGCCCTTTTCCACACGCCGTACGACTCGTCGCGATCACGACCAAACGCGAAATCTCCTGCCAACAGGGACAAGGAATTGACGATCCCCTCTTCGGGCTCGTCCCTGGCCCTCATGGTGGAGAACCTGGCCCGCAACAACTTCGGGAAGCCGCACCAATTCGAGCAGCGGAAGGGACTGCCCGAGGGCCCGCTCTTCCTCGACGGGGTGGAGGCCACGCTCGACGGGATCGTCGCTCTACAGTTCACCAAGCAAGACCTGCAGACGTGAGTGTTCCGGGACCGATGTCTTCATTTTGAGGAAGGAAAGATTAAAGTTACCATATCGGTAGAGAATCAATACGAACTATAGTGTTCCTATCTCCCCTATCCAGGTGTTATTCCCTTAATTTAAGCGTCAACTTCCTTCAACATGTCGTCTTCGCTTCCCCCAAATTTATTCTTTTGCGGGAAGCAAACCTTCCATATACAGATTAAAAGGTGTTTTTAGGCTGACGGAGAACACGGAGCTCTGGTCGCAGATGCCAGCGGGTGACCCCTACTCGCCGAGACTCTACAGAGGGACGTTGACCGTCGATGGGGAACCGGCGGACACGTTCCTCAGTCTTACCGACACCTGGATCAAGGGAGTCGTCTTCGTCAACGGGTTCAACCTGGGTCGGTATTGGAACGTGGGGCCTCAGAAGACGCTCTACGTGCCAGCCCCCATTCTTTTTACTGGGGAAAATCAGGTGAAGCACAAGACTTGTTGGATTTTTTATGGCTGATTTTTCGTAAAGTCCTAGTTGTTTGGGGGTGGGCGGGGCTCTTTAAGGCTCATGCAGAGAAAAGATGCAATGTCTTTACGATGTAGAGTAGACTTCATGTAAATGTGAAGCAATTGAAAGAGATAAGAGAGGGAATCATAGCTTTTGGTTTTGTTTAACCTCAACTACTTCAAGAGAAAAGAAAGGACAGAAGTGTTGGAAAGAAATAATGCCTTGCAGATCGTGATCTTCGAGCTGTACACCGGCGGCGAGGGACGGCTGGAGTCGGTGAACGAGCCGGACCTGGGACCCCCGCTGCCGCCGGGGAAGGACGGCGGCGTGTCCCAGACACAGCTCTTCAGTCTGCGGCCGCGCTGATTCGCGGACGCTTGTCCATTCCCTCTCGTGCGTTCTCGATGCTCTTTGATAAAACATCGGTTCGATGTTTTCCCTTGGAATGTTGCGACACTTCTACGAATGTTATTGCAGCATTTCCAATCGATATCGAGAGAACGTTGACACTCTTGACACTGACAACACGGCGACAAGCATTCTGACACAACATGGACTAGGAAGTTTTATGGAATTGTAAAGTTGTTCTCTATGCCACGAGGTGGAGGCGTAGGTTTCGCTTCTCGAACGGTACAAAAAAGTGCCCTTCTCCTGTTCCCTGGGATCGTGCCTCGCAGGAATGTTTAGTACCTTGCCATATGTCTCGCGTTGTCTCATTATAGGAATCAATGAACACAGACACTCCATCATTAGTTTTTTTCATATTCGAGACAGATTCATGGAGTCTAGGCCAAAAACAAGCTCAAATTCCCAAAAAACCCTTTCCAAAAACTCGGCGATCGATCCTAAAGGAGATTAAAAACAATGGTAGAGATTCAGTGAACACAGTCCATCATTTCCTCATCCATATCCTCAACCGGATTAAAAACGATGGGCTGAATTCCCGGACACGCCATTGAACAGTTTCTTGTGGATCTTCACATGAAATGTGACGTTTATGCGGTATCACGCGTCGATTGGTAGATCCTATTTTGCTGTTCTAGATGATTTGTATAACTTTGTGTGGAAACACCGTTGAGATTATGACGAAGGCAAATGTGAAAAACTGGCATCAAATCTGTACCTATATTGGCGTGACTGTCGGAAAAGTATTGGCTTCATTGGCCCTGAACTGGACCGATATTCTGCCAATATTGCATTATTTCATTCATTTCGTACCATATTCTTTACCTCCTTACCGAGACGTTCCCATCAACAGGACGAAGCCTTAACTAATACTATCAATGTATCCCCTGCCCAAGTACATACAGTATCTTTAACATGAATAAGCAGGAGACATAGTATATTTTGGGAGGCAATCTCCTCCTGAATGTGCTATCATATATTAGTATATAACACATTTTATGGGAAGGTCCACCCACAATGGTTCTATGGTGTGTCCGCGAAATCAGCCCTTCTTTTCCCCATCCTGTTGAGGATGGAGATGAGGAAATGCTGAACTGAGTTCACTGACTCTCTACGAATGTTTATAACCTTCTTTAGGAACGATCGCCAAGATCATGGAAAGGCTTATTTTTGGGATTTGAGCTGACTTTTGGCCAGGGCTCCATAAATCTGCCTCGAATATGAAGATCACCTAATTTCCCCCAGTATTATGAAGGGGCACTGGCACGTACAGCGTCTTCTGAGGCCCCACGTTCCAATACCGACCCAGGTTGAACCCGTTGACGAAGACGACTCCCTTGATCCAGGAGTCGGTCAGCCTGAGGAACGTGTCCGCCGGTTCCCCCTCGACGGTCAGTGTCCCTCTTTAGAGTCTCGGTGAGTAGGGGTCACCCGCTGGTATCTGCGACCAGAGCTCCGTGTTCTCCGTCAGTCTGGAAATTTCTTTAAGATATGGATTACCACGCTCACCACGAAGGATTAAGTCCGGGGAAGAACTGACAGCGAGACCGAGGATGAGGCCGGATGTCGCTTGGATCAAGGGGGTATGATTTTGAGAAAAGAGTACGACGCTGTCGTTTGTATCGATTCTCTACCGAAACGCTAACCTTCATCTTTCCTTCATCATAGTGAAGACATCCGTCCCCGAACACTCACTTCTGTAGGTCTTGATTGGTGAACTGTAGAGCTGCAATCTTATCTAGGATGGTCCACTCAACCAAGAGGTCAAGTTTGTGTAATTCTCATCAGTGCTTCGTGAGATGAAAGCTTTTTCCTGATGATACGTGAACTTAACAAATTAGTACTGGGTGATTGCTTCGAAAATTTCGTTTATTTTCTTCTTATGCAGCAGGGGCATCATGATAACGCATCTTCCTTCCTCTACTCCTCGCACCATACGAGCCTGTTCTATTCAAATATTAAAATCTTTTGTTGATTGCTTATAGATCAGAGACTTACCAATAGACCTTCTCCCGCTCCTGGGGGCCCTTAAAAATGTTTCTAAGTCCCCTAGTCACGAAAGGATATGAATGCAGCTAAAAAAATAACCTTTATTAAACCTTCAACCCGATATTCATTTGTCGTCCTCTATGGGAGACGTCTAACATACATGAAAATCAATACCCAGATAAGTGTTACGTATTTTTCCAGATCCAACCGATGGTTGGAATGGATTCCATCCATGAAGGAGCCACCAGCTTGTTCTGAAGACGTACTGTTTCTGCAAATTAGCTCTCGAAGTCACTCCTCGAGTATTTTGGATTTTTCAGTTTTTTCATTAAGAACGTTGAGCAATTTTAAATTCCTTGCTGTTGCTGATGTAACTGTTCTAACTGCGAACATCTCTATCTTAATAGCCAAGCAAGTCTTTTATTTTTTCCCATGCCCATTCGAGGACAGGAATGGATTCAACCCATGAGGGACCAGCCAAATTCTCCAGTATTCGTTCCCTTTCAGCAATTAACTCTTGAATTTGCTCCTGAAGTGTTTTGTAATTTTCTGCTCTTTCATCAAGGTCTTTTAGCAGTGTTTCAATTCTTTTCTGATCCTGTTTCATCTTTTCTAGATGAGATAGAACTACATCCATGTGTTCCACTGGCATATTGTTGAAACTTGCGATGGCTTTCCAGAAGGAGCTGGCTTCCTTCAGGAATGCCTCCCTCTCTTTAGAAGAATTTCTGTCGTGCATAGCGTCGATAGCCATCATCGGTATCTGAGGTTGACTTATGTGATCACGGACGAAGGACTTCCAAAGCTCCATCTTCACGTCTTCGAAGGTCTCTCCACGTTCTTCACGTCGGCGTTCGTCGACGTCGTTGAAGCCCCATCGGGTGAACACAACCACCAAATTGTTGAAGAGAGCGCCACCGAACATCTCCGTCAGAATTTTTTCACGTCCTCGAAGGTCTCTCCACGTTCTTCACGTCGGCGTTCGTCGACGTCGTTGAAGCCCCATCGGGTGAACACAACCACCAAATTGTTGAAGAGAGCGCCACCGAACATCTCCGTCAGAATTTTAAAATACTCTGATTCTTGTTTGTCGAACCTTGGCTGCTGGGAATTCTTCACCCAGACGAAAGCCTGCACAACACGCTCTCTCTTCAGCTCTTCCACCATTTTCTTCCTAAGTTCTTGGTCGCGATCTTTTCCATCTCCATGCTCCGGAGTGTCGACGATTCGGATTCGTCTGCTTGGAATTCCGAGCCAATTGCCATCGACAGGCTTGGCTTCGAGGGTGCAGCTGTCCGACCCCCCACATGTGGGGAACCCTTTGCCTCCGCCATGGTGGTTCAAGCCCAATAGGACATTACCTAGACTGGATTTCCCACTCCCTGTCATCCCAACTAGGACGATGGTCAATCTGTTGTTGGCGATGTTGGAAAATAATCCGGGAAGATCTTCTTCGGGTGAAAAGCCCCAATTGCACTTCCTTAGACCAAATGCAAGGACCATGAAAAAACAGCAACCACTATGTAGAGCCTCTTGTCACTAAGGTAGACGCTTATCTGATTTGTGCTATCCCCTTGTTGCGACACATGATGTGTTTTCTGATGAGAACGTTTCCCCATTTTCGATCGATGTTGAGTAGGACCTGATCAGTATAATACACGGTTTAGCACCACTGCATCAAAGTCTAATGGTTCGGTCGAGAAGCTTCTTCGATTCTGTAACTCGGCTCAGACGGATGTCACCAATTGTGTGGCACTGACATTTTAATTTCTAGCACTATAATCTTATCGAGGATAGGGCTTTCCTGGTGATACGAGATACCAGGTCGTCCGGAATGTCCGTGCAACTGAACCCGAACTGCGTGCGTGAAACATTAATTATGCACCATCTTGTAGAGCGTGTTTTTTTTTATTACCATGGTTCACTCCTTTTTGGGATGAGAGTATCATTTCCTTTTTACAAAAAACATTAGCTTTCACAACCATGTCTGCCTATGTTTCAGCATCGAGCATCGAGCAATCATGAAGCTCTTTACTCGAAAAGGTCTGAATGCCCCCGAAATACAAACACTGAATTCAAGGACCCAACACATGCTTTAGAACAGGGGTGCCCAAAGTGGATGTTCTCTAAGGCACTTTGTGTGCTGGATGCGCCCCGCGGGCCCCATTTTGGGCACCCCTGCTTTAGAAGATGCACTCCGAAGTGGCCGCCCATCGAGCACGACCACCGATGAATGCGCTGAAGTCGTGGAGCGTGTTGCGATGCTTGATCGACGAGTCTCTGCCCGCCGTGCGTTATAACCATGGTAAAAATGAACATTTTACACGATTGTGTAAACTAAATGTCTCACGCACGCAGTTCCGTTTCAGTTGCACGGACTTTCTTGACTACCTGAAAGTAGCGTAAATCCCGATTGGGTAAATTTTGGAACTTTTTATCTCCAGTCTTTTTTAGCACAATCGTTCAAGGACATTCTCAATATTTCTTAAGTTTACTTTAGGTATAAAGCTTTTCTTGGCTAAAATTTTATATAGATGGTGCGATGTTGATTTTGTATGAGCGTTACATCATGTACTTTATATCAGGTGAAATCATGTCTAGTTCATTCATATGAAATACACATCCACTTCGGTGATGTAACCATAGGAATGTACATTTTATATGAACGTGATATCATTTGCATGACGGTCACATTTAGAAATACACATTGTTTGCAAAAAAATAATATCTTAGTTACATAAACTAACTGCTTGTGAATCTAATCTACAATCCTCCAATCGACCTCTGGCTCTTGCTCATTCCTTTATCGCTGCGCATGGTGACATTCTTATCCATTCTAGATGAGGAAAGAGCTTCTCCCCGATGATACCAGATGTTGACAAATGTCCTGATCGTGTATCTTGTAAAACATCCAATTATAATTGTATCCATTCCTGCGCAAGAAAATCCCAACAGAGCAGTCTCAGTAAAAATCAAGGTGATTTCACCAAATCCACTTCATCGTTTTGTATGGTAGAAACTCATA